ATGATTATATAAACAATTAAATTAATCTGTGAAACGGGTAAATAGATTTCTCTTATTTTATCCATGTATACATGATCTGCTAGTAAAGAAAAACAGCTAGTTGCCAAAGACTAGAGTTGAACATATTGTGAACTAGCCATTGGAATGATTCTCCAGATTCACAAGGGGCATGGGGCATATTTCATGATTTGCTACCTGAATTGTCCACATGGTTTACAAGCACATACTGGATATAAATATTAGTTATGCAGTATCAAGTGTAGATGCTCAAAAATTAAATCCTGAAAATTTAATAGACTGTACATATACTTTTTGAGATATGTAATAAGAGGATGTTTATATGGGGGTGAGGCTGGATGCCCGGGGTTAGGGGCTACAGACTTAAGGTCACTTTTCCTGAAGCAAGATCTCGGGCTAAAGGGGCGGGATCTCGCTTAGCTATAGCTGGGCCCGCTCTTTACCCATGTATATACACAAGGTGAACTTTAGTAAGAAATAACAACAAAGGCAGGATCTTGCCAAAACTGGGCGAGCTTGGGTACCCTCGGTTGGCTTGCAGTTGCACCATATAAACAGCCCCTATATATAGGCAGTATATATTTTGTCTGGTAATTGGAGTCTTTTAGATTTTGTGTGTAAATGAATATAAAAATGACCCTTTACGGGTGGGTTGAGGGGGGTGTTTCTGTCAACATTTTGGAAAGCAACAATATTTTATTAAAAAATTAGAATAATCACATATTAAACTCTGATTGTAGTATATATTGTATTGTGTGTGATTAAAGTAAGGTTATTTTTTTTTTACCCCACCTCTGCATGCAAGGATTTTTTGGCCACCCCACCTAAAGCAACTATTATTTTTCAGTTACCCCACCATTTTCTCTTCGGCCCCCACCCCTGCCATAAATAATGACCGGTCCCTTAGACCAAAAAATAGCTACGTAACAATATTTTTTAATTTTTTTAAATATACACTGTCAACTGTAAAACATTTGCAAAATTGCATACAAACGTTTAAAAAGTTGTTTACTTCTCAAGAAAACGTTCACGTTTTTAGTCGTGTTTCTACAAGATTGAAGTGATTATATGTAAACAGAAAAATATTTCAGTTTCATAGCCTAATTGTTCATTTTTAAAGCACAAGTACAAAACAAGTTTAAAGCAAAAAGTACAAAACCAAACATGAAAAAAAAACCACGTCCACCTGTTAATAGGCTGTTACAGCTCATAGATTGAGTTAACGGCAGGATTCAATTAGCTTCAACCTTGTTTTCACCGATTTGATCCTTCACAATAATCCTTGGCTGTCCATGGCACTCAAATAAATCGAAAAGTTGACAAAAACAAAACAGTAAAACTAAGTAAACTCGTTCTGCGCCGCGTACAATCTTTTACTAGTCAGCGACGCTTTTCAATAGGGGAATTTCTCGAGTTACACGAGGCTATTTTCTAGCTTTATTTGCATTTTACTCATTAGTTTCATCGGTGACCTATCTTCAAATTTTGACCACGAATTTATTTTGCGGTAAATTATATAAATTTCAATTTTTAAAAAAATCTGTAGTGTGGAAATTTCGCAGTAAAATTTTCGCTTTTAAAAAAATCACATACTACAGAATTTTTTTAAACTTTCACCACAGTTGCAGAGCATCATTCCCTATTGATATATGAAATAAAAAAGATAGGTCACCGACATCGTTTTTGAGATAGTAGCACATTTATGGGTTAAATTGGAAGGCTTTATGCTGTCGTCATGTTGCCATGGGAACATTGACATTGTCGAAATCTAGTTCGAAATATTCCTTAGGTGACCAATATTGCCACCAAGTCGAAAAGAATTCGCGTTCTGCGCGAATAAGCCTGTTTTACGGAATTATTGCTTAAACAAGAATAACTGTAGGGAGCCACCTTAAGTCGCGTCTTAAATAAGAAATTTTGAAACAACGTAAAATTATTAGCCTTGCATATTAAAACAAAAACAACCGGAACAACATTATAGCTATATAGCCAGTAAATAAGAATAAAGCCGTAGAGAACCATTTATGCGATAACTCGGATTGGAATTCTTTATCAAAACTCGGATCGGATTCGGATTAGACAATTTCGGATCGGATCGGATTTTAAACATTAGGCAATTGTCGGATTATACTGTAAACGTCCAATCCTGTGCACACCTCTAATACACACCCAATATGAATGAAACGCGATTCATTTTGAGAAAATAGTTAATGGGAAGAAGTAGATAAAACGTTCTTTGATATAATAATATAAAATTCTTATTTTAGTAATCCTACCATGTGGCTGAAACATAAAACGGCTTTGGTATATATATACATATATATATATATATATATATATATATATATATATATATATATATATATATATATATATATATATATATATATATATATATATATATATATATATATATATATATATATATATATATATATATATATATATATATACCTTTGGTATATAGGTATATATGTATATCGAAATGTGTATATCGAAATGTTTTATAATTTGAATTTAAGTCCTTTCTTCAAACTACTGTAACTGAAGATTGCTACAACAAAAATTAAATACTGTACTGGAACGTTCCATGTTGATCATGTTGCACCCTCGACGCCATGTCACCCCGTCCCCCTTTAGAAGCCTCCTTCCGCCTTGTTATCGTTTCAATTCTACACCACTAACTAGTAATTCCCATCCTCGTCTACAGTGCTGTGTCCATCTAGCCAAATAATTTTATACATGTAAGTTATGTAACGTCTTGCATTTTTCATTGATTCACTATTAATACGTACTCTGTCTTGTATTTTTTTTTCTGTATCCTTTAGGAGTTTTTGAATGAAGCATTTAATTTCGAATCCAAGCAACCAACGAACAGCATTTCTTCGAACAATGGTAAGACTTGCAACCTCACAAGTATCATTGGCGATAATGGACCCGATAAAAATTCAAATGGCTACAGTAAACACAATCTTTTACGCAGCAAAGGATCGTCAGTAAACACGTTTCCTAATTCTGGTAGTTCTGCTGGATGTCTCAGACCATCGTCGGTTAATTGTGGGAGACCCAATAATGAAGACGCAAATACAAAGCGTATAGGAAATTTCAATGAGAATTTTTCTTCAGAACCTCCATTAAAGAAGCAAAATTGTGTAACGGAGAACCGCAGTCCGAGTTTGGGAAGTGATCAGTTATATAATTCCACTGGAATTACAAGGAACAATGCAAGTGAACACATAATTGGTATTGATAATATGTTGTCAGAATCAAAGACCTCAAAGTCTTTCGATTTTAACCCTGCTGTTAGTTCAAGAGCTACTAGTAATTTATCAAATGGACTGAGATACACACAAAATACTACTTCTGCGGTTTCATCACCAAGGTTGACGAATAATAGACCAGGAAGCTTAGCTGGGTCTTGTACGCCTCTACGCAAGAATACCTTGTGTGACCAGCGAAGATCACCAGCAACAAACTCATTTACACCAAACATATACAATGAAAGAGACGCGTCTCAGAACTTATTGCGAAGCACTATATCACCTTCAGTCAGTAAACAGTCACATCATTTAAGGGGAACGGGTGGGTCTGAGGTTCGGAATGATTCTTTGTTTACCCATAACCGTATCCATGATTCTAATCCTTCACTAACATCAAACAGATACAGAGAAAGAGACTCATCTCAGAAATTGTTACGAAGCACGATGTCACCTTCAGTCAGTAAACAGACTCCTGAGTTTAGAATTGCCAATGATTCTTCAAATCACTTAAGGGGAACGGGCAGGTCTGAAATTGGGAATGATTCTTTGTCTACCCATAACCGTACCAATTCTAATCCGCCAGTAACACCAAACAGATATACTCACAGAGACTCATCAGTAGACAAACATGGAAGCAAAGTATCAACTTCAGCTAATTCACATACTCCAAAGCTAAGAGGTTTTCCGAAAGAATCGCCAGTTCAGAGGAATTTAAGAACACCAACAACTGAAAGGAGATGTTTTACTCCGAGAAGATTTCCTGGACCTGCTGGGATTCTGCCAAGACTGGTAAGTCTTCCATACTGTTTACTCTGTTAATTATTGTTACTGATGCCGATAATTTTCTATTACATATTTATGTTAGGATGTTTACACAGAGCCTAAAATAACGTTCAAAAATGGTTAGGAAAAAAGTGCGACCAAAATGAAATTTGATCGGAAAATATGCGACCTAGCATATTTTTCGGTTTTGACTTCCGGCGTTCGGTAGGTTAATTATACAGGGTGTATAAAAAAAAACTGAACAGATTTGAAATTGCTCTCAATTTCGCAAAACACCTATTTGTATCCGGTTTTTTATATATATAGCTTCTTTGAGTACTTATAATGTAGAATAATGAAAAAAAATTCTCAAACTCAAATTTTGTGAACCAGGGGGGTGTGTCTTTTCCAACAAACTAAAAATGGCTCGCGCACAAAATTTAAACGTTTTAATCATATTTTGAGTTAATAGATGGAAACTTTGTTTGGTTTTTAATTACTGTAGAAAATTTGGTTTAGTTTAAGACGTTTAACTTTTCATTTTATTCTAAAAAATCAGCCTTTCGCATGCTTAATTAAATGCCTTTACCTAATTTGCATATTGCTAACATATGCAAATCAGGCAAAGGCATTAATTAAGCATGGAAATAGCTGATTTTTAGGAAAAATGTAACTTAGCGTGAATAGTTAAACGGCTTAAACTAAACCAAATTGTCTGAAATTTTGTATAGTAATTAAAAACCCGACAAATTTTCCATCTATTAACTCAAAATATGATTACAACTTTTAAATTTTGTGCGCGAGCCACTTTTAGTTTGTTGGAAAAGACACCCCCCCCCCTGGTTCACAAAATTTGAGTTCAAGAAATTTTTTTCATTCTACATTATAAGTACCCAAAGAAGCTAGATCTATAAAAAACCGGATACAAATAGGTGTTTTGCGAAATTGAGAGCAATTTCAAATCTGTTCAGTTTTTTTTTTATACACCCTGTATACGTCTGCAATACAAAAATAAAGTAAGTAAATGACACTTTATGCTACGAGTGTATTTCAACTGCTTTTAAAATACTTTGTGGGATAATATAACACAATGTTTGGTTAGCCCCATCTTTAAGAAAACTTCTCGCGTGTTGTGACCCGATATCGTTCACTTTCATTTAGCATATCTTAGATCTGAAATATTTTTACGGGAACTAACACTTTCGAACACTCTGAGTTCAAATGCGAAACGTTTCCGCTCCGTAGACTCGCAGTTTTCTCACAGAATGCTATTTTATCTTCAATAATTTCACGACAAATTTTTCATTGTTCAACGACTTTACGATACACGATTATGTCACTCAAAAGGACCAATTTCTATTAACCAGTCTTCCTTTTAACAAAAGACCTGTTTTGCTCGAATCGTTTTGAGTCATGTAATCTTATATGCGTGTTGGACGTAAACAACATATCTTGTCTACAACTTTGAGAAAGTACAGATAGCGCTTTCTAAAATCCTCAGTTCTAGAGATATGTCTATAAAATCACAACGACATTAATGCGAAGTCTTTTGGCTACATGTATGTCACTGACCTGAAAAATAACTCTTTTAACGCGATCAAGGTATTTAAAATAAAAGTAACGCGAAGCCAACGTAACGCAAAGACAACGCTAAAATGAAATATTGTCGATTGATTGCTGGTAGAACACCTACGACAGGATCAATCTTAAATACTGTAACCTTAAACTATAAGAATAAAAGTTCACGTCAAAGAGAAAGATTAGTAGTCCCAAAGTATAAAATATGCTCTGTAAACTTACGACGAAGTGGAGAAATGTGTGCATGTGATGAGCTATTTATTTGGTGATTTCAACGTATATGGAAACCCTCTTTCCAATAATATTCGCTTATCGCACAGCATAACACCAACCGACGTACAGTAATAGTTGAAATGCAATGATAAGTTATCTCTTGAATTACGTCTCGGAAACTGTGTTGGAAATTTAATTGCTGGTCCATTACATAAGATTACCGTTTTACATGCATCTTTGTATCAAAGATATTGTTCGCATGTACATGTAAGGAAGTATTTCTCAGCCCAGAGACATAGCCCAAAGACTTAACATTAACGTGATTTTATAGAGATAGAGCCAGAACTAAGGTTTTTGAAAGAATTATCTGCACCTTCTCAAAGTTGTAGACAAGATATGTTGTTTACGTCCAACACACATGAGATTACATAACTCCAAATGATTCGAGCGAAACCGGTCTTTTGTTAAAAAGATGACAGTTAATAGAAATTGGTCCTTTTGAGTGACATAATCGTGTATCGTCATCGATCCGTGTCGTTGAACAATGAAATAATTCGCTGTGAAATTAGTGAAGATAAAATAGCAGTTTGTGAGAAAACTGCGGGTCTGCGGAGCGGAAACTTTTCGGATTTGAACTCAGCGTGTTCGAAAGTGTTAGTTCTCGTTAAAATATTTCAGATCTAAGACATGCTGAATGAAAATCGTTTTCTAGGCACTTTTCGAGGTCACACCACGCGGACTATGCGTTCATCCAGACAAAATGTCCAATTGGGTGCATTGGTCAGAAAAACTGTGATTTGTTCGGATGTCCGATCGTTATTTCAGGCCCTGTTTTATCTGCCAAAAATGTGCATGCATGGTCTTTACATTTACAGTTGCATGCCTAATCCTGAATTGAGGACGCCCATTGTACGCGAAGTTGATAAGTTGTTCCATGATCTTGCATTGCTCTGTGGAAAAATGGGTGTTGTGTAGTAGATATTAGAAATTACGATGACGAAGAAGTACATGCTTGACAATGTTTTACCGTCTGCACATTATCTTGATTTGGGGGTCACCGGTGATTACTGAATGTCTTCCCGTTATAGATTTATGTGTCCCGCATGTTTATGAATACTGACCCTTAAGCCTGGTTCACACGATGAAATAAGCATAAGCACAAGCAGCGAAACCTTTGATGTGCATAAACGTACGCATAAGAAGAACGCAACATTTGTTCTTCTTATGTTTATGTTTATGCTTATGCACATCAAAGGTTCCGCTTGCTTATGCTTATGCTTATGCTTATGCTTATTTCATCGTGTGAACCAGGGTTAATGCTTAACCTGACCCATGCAGACAAAACAGCGAGACATGAAGCTATATCCCGTCTTTGTTTACCTGCCTTCGTTCACGAGGAATTTTGCCAACACATTTGTTCTGAACGAAGGCAGAATTTTTTTTCAAATTCCTTACTATGGAAATAGTATGGATTTTAGTTGATAATAGTATGGATATCCAATTTTCATACTAATTCCAATTCTCATACCATGGATATAAGTATGGACTGAAATACATGTAGGATGAATATACTAGGGATTTAGTGAAGCAATCGCAGTTTCCATAGTATGAATTTCACTATTTTTTTCCAGTGTTATAGGGTCAGCATTCGTAAATGAATGGAGCTGACAGCTTGACACGTATGTAGTAAACTTTGTTTGAACATATCTTTAGGATCCCGGTCAAAGTTTGGATAATCTTCAAAGTCCATCGTTAGAAACTCCCACGAAGAAATCACCTCAACTCTGTCAACTGGTAAGGTGCAAATTACTGTTAGAGAGGGATTGATGTGAACTGTGAAGGGGTGGGGGGCAAATAGACAAATCGTTCCTTTGTCGTCATGGGTTTTGCTGACGTAATAGCAGATGCCGACAAAGGAAAAAGTCCAGGCGAACAATTTGCCTAGTGGAAAACATGATTAAATAGATTACTTGCCGTAGGATCTAAAACTCGCATGAAACTTTGTACAGGTACTAATTAATTTAATGATTGGAAAAGCATCACACAAGTTATTTAGTTAAGGTTTAAAACGTTATTAGGGTTGCCTCCTCTTGGTTTGGCATTCGACGGCGGGATAACGTAATATTGAATGTTGCATGTTTTCTGAATATTAAGTTTTTTTCAAAGGTTACTGGTGATAGTGATGAAGACTTTGCGATAGAACCGTGGACATTGATGCAAGAGAAAATTTCAAAAGGTATAGAAATGTACATTTAGAACTTTGTAATGTTGGCTATAATAGCTATAGAGCGTGCCACACTGTAAAGCCGCCAAGGCCGAGACACACCGGACGCTAGCCGACAACGCGGCGCGATTTTTCAGTTTTTTAAAGTTAATATAAGAGTCAATGAAAGGAATTTTTGAAAGATGCATATGCAGACCAAATAATCTCAAAATGTTATGCTCTTATAGCGCCTCTACATATTTGAAAAACTTAAAATCTTGATCAAAGTTATCGGTCAGTGAAAATCGAAAAATCGCGCCACGTTGTGGAATCGCGTCCGGTGTGTCTGGGCCTTTACTGATTTGTTGACGAGATTGCACTTGACATCTTATTGCGCATCCACACGGTTTTTCTTAACTTAGCCTAGGATTGGCGCTAACCCAAATTTAAAAATCCTAATTAACCTGCATGGGTTTACTATCACTGGATTAATTTGGTTTGCCCCTAAGATCGACTAGTGCTGCTGTTAGTTGCAGGGTTTATGTAGATAGAAATTTCGTGTGCAAATTTTATACTGTAGAATAGAAAAATGCAATTACTGTACTGTATATACTCTCTGCATGGCAGGAATTGAACATGCGGTCTGCGATTGACCTAGGTTAAGATATTTAATCCGTTACTTATTAAACAACTGTGAACTGTGATCTTCATGGGTTATTTAACATTTTCTAGACTTCCCGGATTCTTTGGATTGTCTTTCGTCTGTGATAACGAAGGTAGGTGCACGAGGGTGGGTGCACGAGGGTACCGTGTGTTGGTTAGCCCAGGTGCACTTCCATTTTACTATTTAAGGTTACAGGATACCCAAGGCACGCTTTCAGGAGATCTACCATCACTCGGCGAATTTTTATCCAAGTTCTGTCCAATTTTTCGCCGAATGTGGCCAGATAGATGAAGAATAACATTGTGTTATAAAATATGAAAAACATTTTCCCGTTGGTTTCACTAACAACCTTCTCGAAAATTCTTCTAAACAAGTGTGTTCGCATTTTATCAGGCCTTAAAATATCGGTCGGTCACGGACATTGTCCGACCCATTCGCCAAATTGTCCGATGTAGAGAGGAAACCACCGGACATTTCGTCCGACCAAAGTGAACCTGAGGTTTATTGTTTGTCCGAACCAAGTAAATTGGTGTCCGACCGTACTTTAGCTTTGTCCGACGTAAATGAAAATGTACCCTAGCCCAGGACTAGAGGCTTGTATGTTAAATGGAAAATCAGAGTATTATTGTATAAAAGGTGAACTGGAAATATTGTTTTAACCTAGTCGAGCACATGGCGGCGAGCGAAATGGTGAAGTGGAAAACGGGTTTAAGTTGTCGAAGTCTTTTTTACACTGCTGTACTGGCAATCAAGTTAATTTTGTCTTGGAAATAAGTATGAAAGAAACAAATTATTTAATATCTTTACAACATTTACCGTTTATTCATTTGTGTCGGCACTCAGACTTATTTCCGAGTCAAAACTGAACTGAAGGTCATCGGACATATGTCCGACCCAAACTCAACGTCACCGGACATTTTGTCAGACGGCCCTGCAAAAGATATTTTAAGGCCTGATTTTATTCTTGCTTTAGGGGTTACTCAGCTAAGGCGTATTCTTTCCCGACTTGTATTGTAACCAATGGGCAACAAAAGGCTTATAACTTTGCAGCTAAATGCCTGTAAAGTTCGCGCGAACACACGTCCGTAGCCAAGACAATAGACATGCATGCATCTACAATGTGAACAAATTTAAGAACAATCAGTTAAAAACGCACGATTAACGTCGCGTTTCAAGTTGATGTACATGTATACGACTCAAAATTAATTTGTCTGAAAATTGACTTTAGTGTTAATTAGTTTTCCGCCAAGCGTATAGACTTCGGAAAGCGTTTTACTTGATAACTTATATGATTTGAATGATTTTAATTTGAAATTTTTCCTGACGACGGATCTATTTCTAAACTACACGATTTCGTCATACATCCAAAGCCGCAAAATGCATTCTTCACCACTCATATAATGGCACCCAAAATTCATGATTATTTCCCTTGCCGGTTAAACGTTGAATTTATTACCTTCAAATATCCTGTTTTATTCTATATAGGCAGCATCACATCAACTTGAGAGAGGAAAAGTGGCATTTTTGCCTGTTTTAGTAAAATCGTTCCGTCCAACTGGGTTAGATGTCAGTATTGTATTGAAAGATCCTTCAGGTACACACGCAAAAATCTCAGATTTTGGAGCAAATCTGCCAACAAACCGTGAACGAGTTGTGTTCGCGCTGCATGCTTGCCGCTTCACAGTACTATACAGCTGTAACCTACGTAGGCTTGGAGATACAGTAAGTTTGTTTTATTTTTGCAGGGGAAATGCGGGGTACGTTGCATCGAAAGGTCTTAGAGCAACAGGAAATTGAGATTGGGCCTGGGTGTGGTCTTTTTCTTAAGCAGGTATCTTATGTTATTATACAGTATATTGTTGTAGGCACTGAACGACAATGTTTTTTTCTGGAACTGTATGACTAAGTTAGGGCAAAAATTGTCAACAGGTTTATAGGTACTATGTGCAATATAAATCGGGTTCGAATGTTCCATTTACAAAAGACCCATTTCATAGTTTTATTGAACGAGATCAGATACCCCCCAAATCTCGATAGATACCCAATCATACACCTTTCACTGCCATCGTACCCATTATAACATATACACAAACTTGTGGTTAAAGCTCAGTAACTGGACTCTGTATAGGTCAGAGCGCTGTACCGGAATCGTAGGACCAATTCCCAAGGAGCCTCTTTAGGTCTAAAATGTACTGTTCCCCCAAGTGAACCTGTCTAGTTACAAACTACTATTACCATTTATAGAGCTATCTTTATGACTAAACTATTTACAAATTTAAAGAATTATTTATAGGATTATTAAAGTACTATTGCATATTAGAAAGATATATAGTTATTGGATTACGTATTAATACTATTAATACTACAGATAGTAATCCCGAAAAGTCGGTGTTATACCTTCCCAGATTTTATGTCTAAATCTATATTTTCTGTCTACTTCTGGGATTTAAGGTTTCTGTATTCAGCCCATCACCACGAAAACATTATCTGAATATTACTCCAGGAAATATTCTCGAGATTTTTCCTGCTAGCGCAGAACGATGTGGCAGTCGGAAGGTAAGATTTCGGTGAATTATTGATTTTTTTCTTTACGTAAGATCAGGTATTGGTGCTTTACACGTTTAAAGTCCTTGACCTTTAATTTGAATGAGGGCCTTGAAAGTCCTCGAGTTAACAAAGAAGTGCTTGAAGTCCTTCAATTAACAAATAAATGCTTGGAAGTCATTGGATTAACAATGACGTGTTTGAAAGTGCTTGAGTTCATCTTGGTTTAGTTTTTACTTTTAGGTATTGTCTGAAACCAAGTGGCTATTCGTATTGGAACAGTACGCCGAGTTTGATTTGCTATTCGTATACTGCAGTCGGAATATTTAAGATACTGTAAACCTGACCCCAACATCAAACCCTTCTCTAACCCTAACCAATAATGTCTAATAAACTATTTGAGAGTTAAAAAAGTCGGGGGAATGTTTTAAATATTTGAAGAAAAATTTCTAAGTCAAACAGAAAACCGACGGCTAAAACTTAACCGGACACGACCTCGTTTCACTTCGCACGCGCGCAACGCCTTTGTCGAATACGCTAACGGCAAGCTCGCTAAAAGCTGTTGCAAAAAACTATTCTATATTACTAATTTACGAAATGTAAGAATCGGGAGTCATACTCCAGTACGAATAGCCACTTCGTTTCTGAAATTTCTTGGACATTAAAAACGAACATTTTATTCCAGATACATCTCCTTGAAAGTCCTTGATTTGTTAAATGAGAATATTATATGATAAGCCGTTCAATTTTGCTAGAGCTCTTCAATAACCTCATCTTAATTTTTTAAGGTTACAGAACACCTTTGAGTGTTAATGTTGTCTAAATTTTTTTATTGGTTTCCATGAAAACATTAGACTAGTTCTGCTATCCGACCAAGTTTGAACGAAAAATGTTGAAAACTCGCGGAGTTTTTTTGATAAAATACACTTCGCTGCAATAAGAAAAGCATTAAAAATGTAATATTCAAATTCAATTTTCTCCCGAAAATGTTTACGGTAATTACTGATTTTCAAACGAGTTGTGCTCCTGCGGGTTTTAACCAATTTTTCTCAAATTTTCACAAGACATAGCTCAAGACGTCAGTTTCAAAATTGTGTTCGGCTTTTTTTTAATTTTGGATATTTTAAAAATAAAGAGCAATTCACTCAAACAATTCAGAAATATATTGCAGTCGCCAAAGAAATGGCCATATCAGCGGAATGACGAAATAAACAAAAATTTCCGAACACAATATTTTAGAACAACTATTTTACTGTATAAAAATGATATTTTCATAAATATAACTTAAAACCAGCAGGAGCACAACTCAAACGCGTAACGGCACCGCGATTTAAGATTTTCCTGAATAATTCTTACATTATTTTATTGTTTGTTAATTTTACAACTTTACCATATTTTGCATGCACTGGAGAACATTTGGTGAAAATTTGATGAAAATCGGACTGATATTGAGCGCGCAGTAGCGATTTTCCGCAAAACGCCAAAAAGGGTGTCCTGTAACCTTAAGTGGTGTTCAGTGGTACGCCAATGATTATTGCCATGTACTAACGCTAGTAAAATTGTATATTCAATAAAGATCCCGAAGTACATAAAGATCCCTAAAGGTATTCAAACGACTACCAGTTAGAACAAGGACCACAATTGCATATAGCTATACAAACTCTGTACAATCGACTCCAACATTCCTTAGTCTCATCAATCCAACATGCATCATTCATTCCAATACATGTCACATACATGTATACCGACTAAATTATGGTTTGAATACCTTGGGTTTGAAAAGATCATATCGTATCAGCAAAAAATAAGTACGCATATAGTAGCAACAGTTCCGCGTACTGTATGTACGCGTGCATACATGCTACCTGGCTTAAACAAAGATGTACCAGATCGTAATATTGGCGTACCTCTTACATGTAAATACGCAAATTGTCGCACTCTGACAAATTGTGATCGGATATCACACCAATTACTGTGATAGTGTGATCCCAAGATGTTCTAAGACATTGGCACTTTGTGACCAGTGTAACGATGGCTTTTATGATGAGGAACCTGATTTTTTAATTGACACATTGATAACTGCTAATTATTACCATTGAATGTAGATCGCAGAGGCTACACCAAAGAGTGGACCAAAAGTTATGCAAAAGTAAGTTAGGAGTAATGTTAGCCTTTCTCACGTGGGCCAATGTCCGCCATTTTTGAGGCACGTCTCCCCTCGTGAATGAATCTAGACAATTAAAGCAACGTGAAAGGTCACTTTTCAAAGTTGTAATCGTAGATTCACCATTATATATACGCACCACTTCAGCAGGGGTTGAAATGAGCAGGCGCCATATCCCCTTTTGCGACCAAGTCACAACATTGGTTTAAGGAGACTTTATTTAAAAAGTTTATGTAAAAAAAAATTTTAAAAAATCAACCCCTGATTACTACAGAGTACAGTGATAAAAAGTCACATTTCGCGGTGCGACAGTGCGCTCTCAGATTTGGGAGAGGCATAGTACCCATGCAAAATCGGCCGATAAACCGAGGGGCTAATTCTACAAACTATGAATTTGTGCAGGCACATTTTAAAATAAGGAGGGCCTATTGTTGCATTTATTGGAGCTGCTCCTGCATATACTGTATACAGTAAAATGTACTCTCGAAATTTCCATCTACAAAATTCCTTCGACAGTTGGTTGTATCGAGTGAGATGCCCCAAATCCTGATATTTATGCATATTTACAGGCACTTTTTGAAGTTATGAATTTTGCTCGCAGGCAAAATGATTTAATGAGCCCTAATACTTAAACAATCTTAAACAAAGGTAACATAGAAGATCTTTGTTTAAGGTAATGAAAAGTTAAGTAATAGCAAACTATCACGACCAAAAGTCGTGAGGATACTTCGTATACAGTAAATACAGTCGCACGAGGATAACTAATATATTGCTTCTTTCAATATAGGCAGGCGGTATGCTCAAATTCAAACAAAGAAATTGAACAAGCCCATTCGTTTGAAGGTAAGATAATTATTTTTTCTAATATAGAAATATTGAAGTAGAATATTGAAATAATATAATAGAAATGATAGTAATTAAATAGCGGTAATCTAAGTCTCATGCATTCATATCTATTCCACATGCGACAAGACTAATGGCTTCATGTGTTCTTCAAAAGTGGTTCGAATTCTTTTGTAGAAACAAATTTTGATGAATTACTCGAAGGATTGGATGACGACGATGATATACTTGTCGAAGCAATGAATTGTTGAGGTAATCGCTAACTCAATTTAACCTATCTGCAATAGCTCGTGTGCACATGCGTGTTGTATACATGGTGTTGTATACCATGAACTGCCCACTGGTTGTGGTATTGGATCGTGAAAGTGTTTACATAAGTCATATATGAAGGACTGAGGATTGAATCCGATTGATAAATTAAAATTCCTCTCACCGTAAATCCTCTATGGCATGTTCATATATGAGCTCAGCTAACCGGGAAACTATATGCACGAGTTATAACCGCATGTTTATATTAATTGTTATAAACGTCAGTCTGTTTGTAAATCAGAGACGAGCAAGCCCGGTTAGATGAGATCTGGGATACGATTTGGGTTAGATGAAAACGCGGACGCACGCATGAGAGGGTAAATGCGGACGGACGGGTCAGAGGGTAACATGCGGATATACGAGGGTAACATTCGGATATGAAGTAAAATGTGGATAAAACTTATGAAATCCATACTTTGAAATTTGCAATTGCATCACTAAATCCATAGTATATCCACGCTATTTCCATACTATATCCATGGTAAATTGCAATTAGTATTAAAATTAGATTTCCATGCTATTTCCAGCGAAAATCCGTACTATTTTCAGAGTAAGGATTATAAGATGGTGGGAAAAATACCAGTTTCATGCTTTGGATGGGAATTCAGTTTAAACAATTCTACAACATTAGATCTAACATTTACGTCTGATGTTTGGAAACGTGACTGTATTTATCTCGTCAGTCGTCACCTTTCTTTGCGGCTTACTCTAATAAATATGTGATGAGATTTACCAGAACACAAAATATAGAATGAAATTCTTAATGAATTCTCAAGTATATAAGTAAACAGGTTCAGAACAATGGTAGCTACCTTGTCTGCGTAAATAAACATGCTTGAATAGAATATATATGACATTTATAAAAAAAATGTAATCCATTTCGACATACTCAAAATCACTGCGGTCCAAAAACTTATCCAGGCAATCGTAGTAAAATTCAAGCATTCTAAGCTTAGCGTACTGATACCATAGATATCTTATATAAACTAGATAGCGCATCTCTTTTAGTAAAATTGAAGCCAAGAATATCCCAGCGGTTACCCCCATTTGAATAGATGGCGGCCATGTTGGATCTTCCCACTCGCTAATAAACGCTTAAAAAATAACAATAACTTTCATCATTTGAATAGTTTGAAAATGTATTTATAATAGGATTAACTTAATGTTTAAGTTCCCTGTTTAAGAAATAGGATACATACGAATCTTCTCATTTCATGGGAAGATCCTGAGCCTGCAATCACGGCTTCAATTTTTGAATTGCAGAATAATTAGATGCGCTATCTAGTGTATATAAGATATCTATGACTGATACACAATTTGAATCGGTAAATTCAGTTGAATAGATTTTTTGGTCATACTTATTTCGCAATAGTTCTCATCTAAAATGTCCAATTTGCGGAAATGAGGATCATTAGGCGTGAAAAAACCCCCTGTGATTCCGGTTTCATATCGCGAAAAAATTATGGTCGGTACGCCGGAAATAATTTTTTTTTGAATATTTTTTTCATGGTTTTTTCAATAACTAGTGTGACAACAGACGCCATTTTGGCAGCAGCCCGCAACAACCCGGAGAAAATAGGGTCGCACGGTCAATCGTGTTGAAAAAATAATAGGGAACCGGAACCGCAGGTATTTTTTTACGCCTTAACAAGCAAGCCTACAGGTTGATTCATCGCAGTATTTAACCCTATTTGTACCGGGGTTTTTTTATGTTAGTATGACCGGGGGTGCGCTGATAGGGCGCACCCCTCAGAAATACTGTCGATTAATTGAAATTATCCTTTCAGTGTTATTTTTAGGAAGTTTTATCTTTCTTTTACCTAAAAATAACAAAAAAGTTAAATTCACATCTAAAGTGATGCTTTTTGGCCGCTTTCATTATGACCGCCTATCAAAAAATGGCAAAAATTGCTAATATTTTATCCATTTTGGTTCTTTTTTATAAAAATATAAAAACATTTTGGACGTGATATTTTTTGTTTTATTTATATTCAAAAGACATACTTTTATGTTATGGCATACCTCTGATGTCCATAAATACCACTATTTTTCTTAACAATCTTTGCATTTTTGAACCATATGTTCCTGGCATGTTGGATTACCACACGACTGGCAGAGTGATTTCACACATTTTATAGAACCTTTTCTTCCTGAGTAACCCTTTCCAGCTGCTGCTTTTTGACACAGAGTGCACCTCCTTCTACTCTCTCCAAATGCTGCGTCGGATTGGTCATTTTGGCGATTGTCACCAATTATTAGCCCAATCTTTTGTTTGACGATCATAGGCAAACAGGTTTGGTTCGTCTTGCAATATGAGGTTTGACTAATTGCATAACCAACTTAAATCCATACTCAAAAGATTTTTGTTTGACAGGATCGACATTCTTATTCAAGGCATAAATTGTGGATGAATTTACACGAGCCGTATCAATCATGTAGGCTAACGCTACCATGGTCCATCTTCGTGACTTGGTTTTGCTTGTGTGAAATGCCCTCCGTTGATCAACAATGTCGGTACCACCTTTCGTAAAATCATACAGTTTGTACAATGCCAACTTGTTACGACTGTCGTTTTTGGTTGTACCAAGGATTTGCTTGAGTGTCGATAACATCAGCACATTCTTCTTCCCGGTTGCTGTATCGACAACATATGATGATAAGGATAGTGGACCTTCTTTCTGCCAATATACTTCAGATGATAAGTTCTCCCTGTTCTTGAAATCTTTCATTTCAGCTGGAACTCCTTTCCGATTCATTTAAACATGTCTATGTTATATTCTTCTCATACAACCAGAGTGCAATGCTAAATGATGTATATAGCCGATCAAACGATATGTTCCTTCCAGCTAGCGGCACTTTATTTTCCAATAAGCGCTCAATCATTTGTTTTACAATTGCTTCTGTACCCTGTACGTTGCTTCTGTACCCTGTACGTAGTACTTTCACCGTCGTCAGTTGGCTTACCACAGTATGGAGAAGCAATTAAAGTATAAGGGTACCTTGCAGCATTGATTGCTTTGAACAATAAACCATACTTAGCTGGCTTATTTGGGTTATACTGCTTGAAGGAAATTTGGTTCCTCATGGGATAAAGTGTCTCGTCCAAAGAGAGATAATCATTTGGTACAAGGCATGACATACATTCAAAGTTGAAAGATTCAAAGATCTCTCTTATAGCGGCAAAACGGTTTTGTTTCCATCTATCGTCCCTTGTACTTGAGTCATCAAAACACAGATTTGCTCGGATAAATGTGAAACGATTTCTTGACATAGTTGCGCTGAATATTGGTGGACCATACGTATTCGAGAATAACTTATCTACAGAGACAGTGTTTAGTTTGTACAGTCCTCGATAGATATACAAACCAATAATGGCATATAACTCATCAACACAGGTTTCCTTTACGTACGCGTATTTACTGTTTTGGGAAACAAAATTATCTGGGAGTGTCGAAATGAAGCTCCGAATCTTTCTGCTGGTGCAGGAAACAATTGTTGCCATGATATCTTCTGTAAAAAACAGCTCGAATGCAGCTCGGGGTGTTGGAGTAACTCTTGCCTTTGGTTGAGGGCCTTGTCTTCCAGTTATGACATTTGCACGATTGTTACGACCAATGTTTGCTGTTGGTGGTTTATTTTGGAAAACACGGACAACATCATTCTCCCGGTGTTTGTCTACTTTCACTACGCTTTCAATATCCTTCAGGTCTTTGGGAATTTGGTATGGATTGTAATTATTTATATCCAGAGCTTTATCGATACTATTCACAATGCGATTCTTTGTGAGTTGTCTGCGCTTCAATCGACCTGCTCGTATGTCCTCGTCAGATTCAGAGAGTTCATCCATTTGATCCTCTGTTTCATCCTGGCATCCTTCATTCTCATCATCTCCTTGTCTTTCCATATTTTCTTCATTGCCTGCAAATAAACATTTGTAAATTTGGGCTTGAAAGGTAACAAGATGCTATTCAGCTTTCATAATAATATTTCAAATGTTTTATTGTTTTCCACAGTACATGAAAAGACATACAATTTCACTGACCTGTTTCTCCATATAAACTATCCAAATCACTTTCAACATCACTATCAATTTCACCATCATCACTGTCACTGTTGTCATCATCATCCATGACTCTCATTATATTTGCAATTGCACATTCAGCCGAAATTCTAGCCCTTTTTGGTGGCATAATTACTTTAGTACAAACTGATGAAAGATTCAGGAAAGTCAAACATAAAACACTTGTTGAAAAAGTTATACCATATGGCGAGCACGTATTTTATACTAGGCCAAGATACTATGTGTTACAGAAAGTGTAGTGAGGGTAGACTATGAGCCTGCAGTACAGTTTTGAAAACACAATATTTACAATTGTTATATAGCTAGGGGGAAAGCCAATCCGTGATTGGTTGATTTGTGGTCACATGACCCTAATTAAATGCAATGTTTCCTTCAGGGCAATAAGTAAACAATTATTGCCCTCCCGAAAACAAAATGGCGGCTTTGAACTTGCAAGTTTATAAATGTTTTGTCAAGTTTATTTGAAGACTACAGAATCGAAAGAGACGAAAAATACACAGCAGGCAACAGGAAATGCTGTGGAAATACTTTAGGCAAGTTTTTAAATTTGAATATCGCTTACTTTGTATTGTTTTTATCACAAAATACAATTGTTGTATGAATATATATATTTTTTATTTCGTCGCTATATAACAAAACACTAATGTCTGTTCCCTCGGGAAATAGTTAGTTTTGTTTTCCCTCGAAACTCAATGTTTCCATCGACTTCGTCTCGGGAAACATTGAGTCTCTCGGGAAAACAAAACTAACTATTTCCCTCGCGAGCAGACATTAAGTGTATAATATTTACTTTGAAAATCATGTGGATTTTATTTGAATAATTTTGTACCAAATTTGATAATAAATTGGCACAGTTGTCATGGGAAAGATAATCATACACTGTGGTATATAATATGCCTCTTGAAAGTTTGGATTTTCCTCAAAGACAAAGAGATGTTATGCCTTGAAGGTACAAAGAAATATGTGTATTTCCAAAAATATAAAAATATTATAAAAAAGTATTTTATATTTATAAATATTTTATAGCAAACAATATTATACTACATTTTACTACTTTATATAATATATTATGGATATTTACTTTGCAAATTATGTGTAATAATCCATTTTTACATGTTCTCCAATTATAATATGCTATTTATGTCATTGGAAGTGATTAAGCCAAAAAATACTGTCATAAATCACCAACCCCCATTTTCCCATTTTCAGGCCCCGACACCTTGTTCGACAAATGTCGTCAAACGTGCCGATAACTTTGAACTTTCAGGAATTTTTTTTCTCTGTCATGACGGCAGAGGAAAAATATTAAAAGTCATAAAAGCACAGGCGAATGCGATCACTAATTCAGGAATGACGGACAAATACATATAGGGGTGCGCTCATTGAGCGCACCCCCGGTACAAATAGGGTTAATATCTAAGTGTTTGTAAGGCAGGTGCCATAGCCGGAGTTACCGTGCAGTTTATTCGTTTCCGCGATAACCTTTTTGGCTGGGTCCCTATCTCCTTCACGTCGCGCATCTCTTACGCTATCGACAAAACTCTGATAACATTTTTTAGGATATATTCTACCACTTCATGAACATCTGTAACCCCTAAGCCATGCTTTATATACCAACGTAGAAGGGGTGTTGTCAGCATAATGTTATTGCCAAACACTCCGCCTAGGTTTTTTACCCAATCTATTAGCTATCACAAAATCTTGCATATGTTCACCAATAGCTTCACATGGGATATGAACATTTTTGAAAATTGGGCACGTTTCACCAAATTTTTCTTTTAGTTCATCAGGGACATGAATATCACAGCGAACAACAACTGTTTTGTTTTTAAGGGGGCATCTACCCTCATTTTTTTTGTTCGCGAACCTATGTACAACAGTAGCTGCATCTTATTATGATTATGATTTAATGTATATGCAGCATGCCATATATCATTTTAAAGCTTATAACATTATCTACACAAATATCATTACAGATAGTGACCTCCAAGGACAGAACTTAAGTGTATAAGAACCATTTAAAACCGAAAAGTTTAATTTTTAACCCGTCCATGTTTGATTCTATCTAGTAAAAAACTAAGCATTAAAACTTGATACGTTTAAGTTGTATAATAGATTACATCCCAATCAACAAAATAATGGATGCTTTTTGCATAACACTCTATTTTGTTGCCATGGCAATGAATATTAGGTAAGGATCTTATTCATGAACACCAATTTTGGTATAGGACATCCAATTTTTATCAAAGTGTAAAAAGCATCCATTAATTTGTGCAAAAATACCTAAAGAACATTCTCAGAAAAAATCAGCAAGATTGCTTAAATACTTTTGGAGTTTTTAGGATTTAGCTAATGGCCGGAAACCAAAATGCGGTTTTTGAGAAAAAGCCATATATAGTTAGTACAAGCGTTTTCTAATGTATTACTGTAATGCACCTGTCCAAAGCCAACACATATCAGTGTGAGAATGTTAAAATGTCACTTTCATTGTCTTTTGCTGATGAAATGTGCTAATGGGGCATCATCGTGCACTGTCCTCGGAATCATTGTCCACCAAAAGTCTAGCTAGTGGATAGTCATAGATAGATAGCATAATCAAGAGGGTCAACATCGTTGAACTTCCAACTGGCATATGAGGATTCACCTTTCTCTTGGTTTGCTGCAAGCTTGGTTTCTCCTTCTTTCCTTTTTTTTCAACTTTGTCTTCTTTACAGAATGCCTCGTCCTTGTCGCATTTTTTTCTTGCAGCCTTCCAGGGTGAACTCACCACCAGGGATGTTTGCAGCCTTCATGACATCCTGTCTTGATGCAGCACCACAATTGAAGGCCAGCACAGCTGACATAGCAGCAATTTCAATAACTCGAGGCCCTTTGAATCGGTGTTTAGGGGCATGGTTCCACACAAGACTACTGTTCAAGCTCTCGTTGACATTCTGCGAATAACCGGGAAGGCAACGAAGCAAAAGAGAATACTGACTCAGACGCTTGAATTCAGGGAGCAGAAACTCCAAGAAAACTGCGTCTAAATGACGGTCCTTTCTCTCAAGTTTTCCTTCTCTTTTATGAGAGCATCAACTATCTGGTCCCGATGGACAAAACTTGTGTCTCTCTTTGTCATCAGTAAGTTCACATGAATGGCATAGAACTGCCATTATAGCCTGTTGCATGATGGGTATTTGCTCCTTTTGCTGTTGTGCAGTTAGCTTCCCAGGTTTGACATTTGCTCTGATTGCATTGCCATAGTATGTCTGGAGCTTATCTATCACTTTGTCTGTTAGTCGATGTTTGCTCCCCTTCACCGATTTCCCATTTGGTTACTTTCTTCCTCAGTTCCCGCAAATGAGTTCCCATTCTTTTCTGGACATGTGTCACAACTTGTCACTCTGGAACAATCAGCCTTCCCACTCTCATGACTTTCCTTCCATTCTACATAACCCTTAGATTCATGCCATTTCTTATACTCAGCTGAACGCTTGTCGGTGTTTTCCCATTTCTCACAATCAGCTCAGCAACCATATGTATCCCAGATACTAGCATAGGCTTTACTATCACCGTCACTAATCATAAACTTATAGTGCAGATTGTTCTTTGACCGGCCCCATCTTCTTGGCGATAGAGCACTCCATTGATCTTCTTGAACCAGTTTGTGTACATTGTTCCTGGTGACCACCAAACCAAATATCAAACTGAGGGAAATCTTCACCCAGATCCTTCTTTGCTATTTGACATTCTCTCATATCTTTGATTCGAAGTCATAGTCAAGTACCTCGCAAGTATCAGCTGAAATGCCGAAGCTAATACCAAAGTTTGCTGTGTACCCTCGTTTCGACCATGTGCCATCGTAACTCACAGCAATCTCTGCAACATCTGACTCATTGTCATTGTCATTGTGGCGTGAAAAAACTTTGTCTCTTGCTTCCTATAACTGCTCAGAAACAGTTTTCTTGTGGGCTTCATACAGTGCAGTCACATGATTTTTCCAAGCATTAGGATGGCAAGGAGGAGGCATGTTAAAAATATCACACATAACCGACATTCCATCTCTCCCCACTCCCATTTCCATTGCGGAGTAAACCATTCGTCGATTGATGTCAATGGAATATTTCTGGGTCCCATTCCTGATTCTTGTTTCCCGAAGTTTGAAGGTCAATTTTAGTGTCACATTTAGAGCACTCAATGATGATAACTACGCTATTTTTATATCTAGGAGCCTCATCATCAGTAACTTTCAACTCTCCCCCTGATTCACAATTATGTAAAGACTGAAATGTATTAGATTTGAAAGTTCAATCAGTCTATAACCATATTCGCCATCGAAATATTCTCTTCTATCGTTATTTTGACCTGATATCTTTCGTATGGAAGCAGTTTCATTGACTGGTGTTGATCCATATGGCGCCGATGTTGAGGACGAAACAGGCTCAGAAGCAAGCTCAGAAGAGCTTATAGGACTCAAAGTGTGCCGTCGCTTTTGGCCACGAAGTTTCTTCTTTTTCGACACTTTTGGCATTACCAGGAAAGAATAATCTCTAGGAGACTCTTTTCAGTTACAAATAAACAAAATAAAATACAGCCCAGTCAAAATATATATCTTTGATGTATTCTCAGTGTTGATAGCTATTCTCTCAAACAACAAAGTAAAATGTGGTGTTCAATGGCTTAGTGACCAGGCCTTAACATCCTTACCAGTCCCTCATGTGTGGAATATCATAAATACAACAAAAAAATTCAAACGCCCACAAACAACCAAGAAAACCGGCCTAACAAACCCAATTTTGTTTTGACAATTTTCTCCACATACTAATCATAACTTTTATGCAATTTTTTTTTTAATTTTCAAAGTTCTTAAGGTAGACGGCCCCTTACGGACAGGATATCTGTTAAGGGCTCCCAACAATATTTTCCTTGAAACTATAATACAGGTCTTTGCATGACTCTTGGTTTTCTTCTTGGGAGGAAGAGTAAAAGATGGCCTTTCACGTTGTTGTTTTTGTTCTTTGCCAGCCATGAGGAATGTGGTTACTATGGTAGATTGAAACTGTAGTTGTTTCATTTGAGACTTTGTGGATACGTCTATTTGCAAGCAGTGTCTGCGATAGAGTAGCCAACCATTCACTACAGCAAGAGTGACACAATAGTAAAACATGTGCATATAATACTTGGTTGAGCGTAGATGTATGCGATATACTGACATCAGCATATCACAAAGATCTACACCACCCATATTGTACTCTCCACTACAAGGGGTCGTTCGATCTTGACATAATTCTTTAGTTGAGCTGACCATCTTTGTGCAAGACTACCCTGAGCATTTCCAATATGGTTGGTGATCAGTTGCACTAAACCGTTGTCTATCCAGCGTACTATTGTGATATTGGAATTGGCATCCACGCACCAGTCGCTAGACCCTTGAGTTTTTTTCTTGTCGTGCAGGACTTTCTTGTCACCCTTCAATCTGTCAACTCTAATAGTGCCTACCAGCCAAATTTCTATCGCCTTCAGAAATTGCAAGAGATAGACAGATGAGAAATAATTGTCAAAATACACTTTATAGCCAACATTCTCAGGAAGGGAGGAGGTTAAGTGTCTGACAACATTCCCACCAACTCCCAAATTTGGATCATTATCAACTGATCCAGACCCACTTCCAGTATAAATGTGGAAGTCGTATACTATCCCGCTATAACACCACACCTGGCCCACACTTTTATACTCCATTTGTGTGCTTTCTTTGGGAGATATTGCTTTAGCCCAGATCTGCACTTTGTAGGGATTATCTGCTCATCAATTGAATGCTTTTCCTCTTGTGGGATTTTCTTGCAATTTGCTAGTACTGAATCAATATAAGACCTCACTTTGAACTGTTTGGTAGCATCTAAAAATATAATTTAAAAATATATTATCCACAGCTATTATTAGCTAATAAAAGATTGTTGCTGCAGAGCAACATTATGCAGAAAAGGGTTTTAAATGATCATTTGAATGTCTTACATAAAAAATAAAAGGAGAAATGTCTAGAAATAGAGACTGACTAGAAATGCTCGATCAACATCATGGCTCGGTATTGAGAGGAAATGTCCAAGCCAAACAAACATATTATAATTTCAATGGGAAAAAATCAAAGATAACACGCAATATACACTTATAACATTGTTTTCTTACGTTACAGCCCATTATATATGGGACAGATGTTCTTTCTTTCATAAAAATCGTTTCAAAATGCATAGAAGTCCAATAATATCTCGAAATGTTCCCCATGATAACAGTAACACCAAAACAATGATCTAACATGAAGTATAATACAGTCCGTCACCGAGGCATCAGCGGATAAAATGATTACAGGCTCAAGGTGTCCGATATGTCGGACACTGTGCGTTAAAATTTTTCTTTCCTTTCGAAATTGTTATAATTGCCGTAGAGTCCTGTCTAATGTTGTGTTTGAATGACTGCAGAACATTTGTGTGGATCATAAGAAGTCTCTGAAACTCTGTAATGATCTCCAAAAAGATAAAACAGACCGTTATAACCTATTTCATGAAATGAAGCAGCCATAATTTCAATTGATATAGAGCTATAGCCATGATCTGTCATAGAGCACAGACGCACAGATGACGCCAATGCATGACGCAATTCCTTCAAGCCATAACCATATGTCGCTGTGTCCGAAGAAACACGTGAAAACCAGTTTTGATGTATATAGTGATTTGAAAAGGTCAACATTTACAATTTCCCATTTACAATTTCCCATTTACAATTGCGTTTCAAAGCATGGAGATGCCTAGAAAACGTTCGGTATACAAGCCTATAGAGCCTAGTTGAGTCAAGTTATATGACGTGTACACCTTATTAAGACGTCATACGGTATACCCACATAACTGAACATGGACAACGGCAACTAGATGTGATCGATTGTAATAAAAATGTTGTAAAACATGGAGAGGCACTATATATAGATGTTGCTTTTTGCATACATGGAGCGGTATCCAAAAGAAAGGTTTGCACTCATCTTTAACCAAAATATCACATGAAATAATACAAAAATCAAATAACTAGATTATAATAATGCAGTACAAAATATGGACGACTTCAAATTCACCATATATCTTACCTCTGACTCTCAAAACCATGCTGGGTATATCCTCTCTGATTTCTTTTACGCTTTTTCTTTCATTAACCATCCGTCTCCTGTCTGGGAAAGTTACAAGCATTCTTTGCGCATTTTTTTCCTCGTCATGTGCTCTTTTTTTTCACTCAGCTTTCAGAAATTCCTTGTGCAGCTTAATCGATGAATCGTCTTCACCTTCTGGGAAGTTGGGATCCCAAATCAGTTCACTCCTCTGAGCCTTTTCGGAATTTTCGAGGTGACTGGTGAGGCAATTCTTTTGTTCCTTTAGTGCACAACTTCCGGCTCTTCTGTTAGTCGTCGTCGCTCGTTTCGAAATTTTTCGTACAGTTGGGCAACCCAAGAGTTCTATAAAAAGTACTACAGAGTTTCAATTTATTTATTTAAAATTTTACCTAATCCACCTTGAATTTCGTTTCGTCCTATGCTGATGTAAATAATTTTTCTTTATACATTATCATTTGAATGACTTCCATAAAAAATAGAAGTAAAAGTAAAAAAAATAAAAGATGTACTTCAAACGTTCCCGATGGTGGCGTGGGAGTAAAGGGAAAATGTCGGTTTCGGTAAAAAAAAAATTGTCAAAAAACTAACAAAGCTGTCTATATAAACTATAAAAAATGTTTTGTGGCTTTCCGTCAATCCCCCCCCCCCCCTAAGTCCACATGAATATCCTAGATAAACTATAAAAAAATGTTTTGTGGCTTTCCGTCAACCCCTCCCCCACCCCTCCTCCTGCTAAGTCCACATGAATATCCGTGCGTACTCCCCGAAACTTGCATTTCCCGCCGAGAAATTGGTAGGTTTCAACCTCAGACATTGCTGGAGTAACTTCCCCATTTACTACTAAGTACGACTGTGTGTTCACGATCCATAATTTCCGTTTACCGTCGACATCAATCCCAAAGGACGCCGATTTGCCGCTCCCATCGGCGCTCTTGACAGGATCGCGATATCGTAGACAAAATCTAGGTGTATGGTTCAGCTTCGTTCCCCCGATATCAATTCCGATTGACGGATTCCAGGTCAAACAGCGCCTAATCAATAACAGCATTTAATAGGTGACATGGGATCCCCTTGCTTTACCCTGCGAGAGACTCGAATCGGCCGGCTTTACCGTAGTACTCTTGCAGTTTATCAATACTTTTTTATCAGACAGTCTGTGACCATTCCCACCCAGTGATTTGCCATCTTTCAATTTCAATTTTTCAACTCCCCTCAGAGCAGTTCCAAGTCCTTTCTGAACAATCCAATTTCATTACAGGATGACAAACAACACTTTCTTCTTCTTGATCCTTTTTCCATTTGGCAAACGCCTTTGACATTACCCATTTTCCATACTCTTTGCTCTGTCTATCCATTCTTTCATATTTTTCACAAGTCTTACAACATCCATACACATCCCACATACTTGTATCAGCCTCGGAATCACCATCATAAACCTTATATTTATATCGCATGTTGAAATCAAGCGGCCGTTTCCACAATTCTTCTGTAATTATTGACACTTCCATGTTGTCACTGCTGCCTTCATAGTTCTTTCCACAATTTGGTTGGTGCTTGGTATACCATTTCTTATATTCATCACGATCTTTATTTGCTTTTTGTATGTTACATGCGGTACAAATTTTCGATCTGAAACGATAGTGAAACACTTCATCGGTTTCTACAGAGATGACAAATCCAAAGCCATAGTTGGCTGTGTGGCCTCTTTTTATTGTTAAATGTACCATCAAATGTCACAGCAATGTCCACTATATCATTCAAGATTTCTGGATTATATTACATTATTATTCAGCTCACTCCCCATTGGGGCTTTTCATTGACCGATTACATCAAGTATTTGGCTTACGTTACTAACTCAGCCTAGACTGTTTATCTCTACAACAATTGAGATATTATGTTCCTGGCCCCATTGTCTTTCTTCAGATTGATTTTCTTCAGTTTGCACCAATGGTTTTCTCGGGTTGTAGACAAATGTTTCTGTATAGTTTGTTTGTAGGCATCATATAGAGTATCCACGTGACCATTCCTGGCTAAATCCACCAGTTTGATATGCTGTCTTGTCACCTTTGGACTTTTTTGTGCACGGAGTTTCTGTCGTTGCTTTTGGTACTTCGCATTCACTTTCTTATAAAGCAGCTTTAATTTTGGACTGATCTTGTTGCCTTAGTGCTTTCATTGTATTTGTGCGTGGTGTTATTCGAAATATATTCATAACCATGGCTTTGTTGGCAGTACCTGTATTGAAAAGGGAAATGGTCTCACAAACGGCTATTGTTACTTTTTGTGCTCCACAAAATTTAATCTTGGGACTTTTAGACCAGAGCATTCCATTCATAGCCTCATTTTGATTTTGTGTTATCCCTTTCAAACACCTAGAGAGTAGATTATCTTTGGAAAGATTTGTAAAAATTGGGGCCAACTCTTCCATAAATACTTTATGCAAACGATTACTTTCGTCATATGTTTCTGTGCCATCAAAAGATCATTCCAAAATTTGCACCAAGTGCTATCATCTTCGGGGCAACGGTGAGGTTGTTCTTGCAGAGGTACTTTTGTATTTTGAATCCTGTGCCATTGAATTGCTTTGATATTCCTCTTCATTCCCTGAAGATTACCCTTGTTCCCCCGGATTGTTTTCCCATAATAGTTCTGCATTTTGTCCAACACCTTTACCATCCGAAAGTTTTTACCCTTCATATTGTCTTGTACTTTTTAAGAGCTGTGCCAAGTCTTTTTTGGACATGACCAACACATTCTTCCTTCGTATCTACAGTATATAGTCATCTCCATACTTTTGTAACATAGCATTATTTTACTCGTCCGTATGAACTACTGTCTCCATCACCGACAAATGTAGTAAACTTCAAATTGCGTTCAGTAATACTCCTTCCAAATACTTCAACGGCTGAAGCAGCTTCCATTTCGTCAGATAAACTTGCACGGTTTATTTGGCGAACTGGTTGATGATTTTCTTTCCAAGATCGGTATTCGTCACTTTTTGGATTCATGTTGCTATTGGCTTTGCACTCATGACAAAAAAGGGACTTGACACAGTAATTCAGCACCTCACCAGTTTCCACAGATGTGACAAATGTAATAAAATTTTCAGCATTGTCTACAACAAAGTTTCTAATTTGTATGTGACGCTCATTGTAAGCTTTTTTTGTTACAGGAGGTGGCTTATTTGTTCCAGCGCAAAATTGAGTTAGTCCGGCATGACCCAACTGAGGAGCTGCTAGAACTGCTCTGCGATTGACTTCCTATGCTCCACCTCCTCTACCACCCAAACGCTTGCTAGTCGAGAGAGGGGTGTTTGCCTCACATATTGAGCACTGTAAGAATAAGTATTCTGCAAGACCCTCTCAACCTTTTGTTTTGAAATAGTTGTAGATTAGATTTTGGATCTCTACAAACACTACAAATTGCTGGAGATACATTCTTTTAGCAAAGATGCATCTTGCAACTTGAAACCAGATGCACTGTTAGATCCAAGTCCGAGAGTTTTTGTTTTTGTGCGGTTTAAAACTGCCTGGTCAGACTCAAGCTTTTCAAAAGAAGAATTGAGTAATTTTTTCTCGGATATATTTACCCTAGAGTGAGGCAAAACCTGGGTATATTTGCTTCCAAAACATCGGCAACATTTGACACGTTTGTGGAAGAATATCTCTCATCAGCAAATATCACTCACGCTTTCGGTCGATCTCCCGCCTATTTCGTCGGTTGTCAGCTCATGAAAACTCTTTCTCTTTTTCTTCGGATTGATCTAAACTTCTTAGTCTTAATTTTCTTCCATTTTGGCTACCCAATAAAATAACAAAAACTTTTCAAATTGACCGAACTAATCATTAGATAAAGACAATATACCCTGTATGTACAATACATCAGTAATACATTAATATACAATACATTAATGATACAATATCATCATCATAAACTGTCCCATTATAGATTGTATCATTATCGTTTACATTTGGCTTAGGAAGTTCTCCAAGCCAAGTTTGGCAACTATTGCCCAAAAGAACATGTTATAAAAACATGTAAATGTTTTTGCTATGACCTGTTGGCCCCTTTGGGCACAGCACGTTAAAAACTTAGTACGCTGCAAGCAACATGTCACTCCACTGGCTATATTGTATGATCTGAATTTGTTTACAACCATTCCTTCTGCAATCAATGAAATCGAACTTATCTCTTCCAGAGGTCCGGTGACCAATAGACGAGGGGTTGAGCATCCTGATATTTTTGGACCAACTTCGGAATCATTCTTCAACAAGGAATATAACTGAGTGACATAAGCATGTCATGCACAACTTACACTTTCATCTAAATATGGTACTTCTTCTCCTTTAGTTACAATACAAAAATATACATAACAGTAACAGGGCGGTTTCATCAACTTCTTCTGTAACATAGATACACATATACGATATGGAATTAATCAGAAAGTAATGAGATTATTCAATTCATCCTGCTCATGCCGCATGGTTATATTGTAATCTGATTGGTCCTAGACATAACGCGGATGAGGATTGATATAAGAGCTCCAACTGCCATCAACTTTGATCTGTTTCAAATTTCCACAGAGTATAAATGAGAGACAATGTATATCTAAAAATAGTTTCATTAATTCTCATGACTGGCTTATGCTTGCCACCTCTCCATCACCTTGCCACCCACCATGCTACAAAAGATAAGACAGACCATTATAACCTGTTTCATGAAATGAATCTGACTTAATTTCCATTTCCTGTTACGACGTCATACGATATACCCATGTAACTGAACATGGACAAAGGCAACAAGATGTGATCGATTGTAATAAAAATGCAGTAAAACACGGGGAGCACTACATATAGATGTTTCTTTTTGCATACATGTGTCTCCAAAAGAAAAGCTTGTACTCATTATCTCTAACTAAAATATCACATGAAATAGTACAAAAATGAAATAACTATAGTATAACAATGCAGTGCAAAACATGGACGACCTCAATTGACCATATCTTTCTTCTGACTCGCAAGACAATGCTGGGTATTCTCTCTGATTTCCTTTATGCTTTTTCTTTCGTTGACCATTCGTCTCCTGTCTGGGAAAATTAGCAGCATTCTTTGCGTATTTTTCCCCTCGTCCTTTGCTCTTTTTTTTCCACTCGGCTTTCAGAAATTCCTTGTGCCACTTCATCGATGAATAGTCTTCACCTTCTGAGTAGCGGGGATCCCAATTCAGGTCACCAGTCTGGGCTTTTTTTTTTAATTTTGGAGGGGACTGGCGAGGCAATTCTTTTGTTTCTTTGGTGCACAACTTCGGGGTCTTCAGTCAGTCGGGGTCTTCTCGTTTCGAAATTTTTCGTACAGTTGGGCAACCGAAGAGTCCTCACTAGTGTAAAAAAATGCACCCACAGTGAATCCTTATTTTGACTAAACAGCTCGTTTACTCAAAACGTTGAACGACTGCCACCAGAAACTATAAATTACTATACATATGCAGTAAAATGGTGCAAAACTCCAACAATATTTGCGTAAAAACGTTACACTGATTCAAAATGTATCAAAAACTGTGGAAAAAAACCATAACTACAGCTATAAGTTAACACATACACAATATTATGCAAGCATGGCTGCCTCAGTTTGGTCTTAAGTACCATATGTAAAGTTCATACTGTGTACTTTATTTATACCAGCTAGTTTAGTCCACATTATTAGCCATCTACATCAGCATTCTGTGCCATGCCTATGGCGTGAAGCTTGTTCAGGAAGCTGATGACAGATGTTTGCAGCTTCTTCCCATCTTCGATGTTCAGCACACATTTTTGCACGAATAAGCAAAAATGTTTTAGATGTAAAGCATACTGAAACATGAACACTTAGTTTGTAGCCATAAACGGTACAACAACTTCTATCAGCCAACTTGGAATTGGAAAAAGGACTATCTTCTCTGCAACAATGGCTATGTCAACTTCACTTAGAATACTTCATTTCATTAATATATTAAGTGTGACATCATGTATGTTGTTTCCAACATCATCAAAACTTTCGTCCTTCTTCCGGAAAAATAATAGAATACAACTTTGTTTAACCTTTATATAAGGCACGTTTGACATTGAACAGAGGAAAAGAATATCTGGCGTTAAACAAAATCAAATTAACAATAATCCACTCGATCGTTTTTAGCTTGACGGGGGCAGGGGTACCGCTAGGATTTCATTTTTGGGGGGAGGGGGCGTGGTCAGGAACCCTGCAGAAATGTTACATATTTTGTAAAACTCATTAATGAAAGTAAGCAACATAACTAGCACAGCTAGTGAATAATGGGGTAAGGGGGGGGGGGGGGGC